TATCTCTTGTATTTATTAACTTAAATTCTTGTATTTGTGAATTTATAGCCTTTTTCTCACTCATCATAAACTAAAACTAAGGACAAAAAAGAAAATAATATATATTTGCATAAAAATAAGAATTTTATTGGTATGGAGGTAATATTTATAAATAGAAAAAAAAATCTTCTCTCTTCACATTATAATTAGGATGTATCACGTGTGCTTTTATAGTTAAATAGATATGCTTTTGTTACAACAAAGAGGAATGAATTTCTAATTACTTTATCAACATCCCACGCCATTATCATCTCCTGAACTACCTCTTTAAATAATTATTTTTTGTGATACATAAACATATATATCTCTATTTTCTTACATTACAATTTTTTTGCCCAACATTCATACATTAAATTGATTGTGACATACTTGTTTTACAAAATATAAATTAGATAAAATAAAAAAGTTATATTCTACGACAAAAAAAAGTTATAATATTTATAATTATAAATAAAGTGACTTGGCGTCTGTGTCTATATATATATATATATATATATATTAATTGCAGCGCGAGTGATCCGTGGTGGAGTTACTCTGCGGTGAGTGCGTGTACACCTCCTCACATTGAAAAAATTATAAGCACGGTTTATAAATTTTACAACTCTGCACTCTCTACTCTTACTATTTCACACCCTTTGGACTAAATAAAAATTATTTGGGCTCAAAATATTATTAGATATAAATGATTAAGATAAGAAATGAAGAGCATCTTTATGTAAAAGACAATATAAAATGATGGTTAATCTACTTATAATTCTAATCCTAATATAATTATTATTTTTAATTATTAAATCATTGTTTTTAAAAAATTATTAATTTTTAAATTAAATTATTTTGTACTCCTGACTCTAGGTCTTAATTTTGCCACTGCATGTGATGAAGCAATATATTAGACATTGGCCAAAAAAAGAAGAAGAAGAAGCAATATATTAAACAGACTAAATGCTCTTTTTTAGATGTATTGCTATATTGATACATTATCACATATGCATGCAGCATGCATTCCTATCCAATGAACCATTATATGGACCCAATGAATAAATACATTTAAACAAGTAAGTGTTGGGAGAAATAAAAAAAAATATCAATCAGGCCTCATACAAGGACAATAATTATGTAAGACTCAAATGATTATGAAACTTCCCTATAGCTCCAAGGTTCTCAACTGGAATTAAATCTCTGTTTTTAATTTAAAGGCCCATGCACATTTTAGTAATTGAACCGGGAAATTTCATAATCATTTAAGTCTTACATGCAATTATTATCTTTGTAGAGCCTGGTCAATGTTCTCTCTTAAATATTACACACTACGTCCAAAAAATAAAAGATACATAAGCGTATTAAATATTTTCAATATAATGATTTGGCATTGGTTAACACAGTTCATATTTGATTATTATTGATTAGGTTCAATTAGCAACTACCTTTTTTATTTACTTAAAATTCAAGCCCTTAACCCTTACTCCGGCAAAATTAAGTCATTTTAATTTGATCTAACCTCAAATGGTAGGTGTTATGTAATGTAATAAAAAATGGAGTAAAACCTAATTTGTAATTTAGTTTATAAGCTAGCAAATTTTGAATTAAATTAAACAATTAAAGTGGGAAATTAAAACACGCAACTCAAATTTAAGTGGCGTGCTTACCCTGTCTAATGTTTTGTCTTTATTTTAGCAGTGCTTTTTTAATAAAAAAAAATATACAAAAGGATAGAACCATAGCTAAAGAAGGTACAATATTATACCGGTATGAAACTGCTAGGGAAGGATTCCACGAACCCACAACGAATTCGAATATACACACCCTAGGAAAGTTAAACAAATGTCTAGTGATCCACTTGAACCCTTGAACACTAACAAACAAAGACTCGAAGTGTAGGAAGACATCACAAAGTTGAATCACTGGGCAAAAAAAATCGAAAGTGATTCTCAGATAAATGAATCATTAGGAGAAAAACACAGGAGTAGTTTTCAAAGAAATAAACTATAAAGAGGGAGGAAGGGCCTAAAGTTTTGCTATACAAAGCTCTAGTTAGAACAAACTATTAAAACTCGATTAACTAGGTTCTGCTACCATGAAAGAAATCATAAAAGAAGAATAAGAGACATGAAAAAGTGTTAAATTTTTTCAAGGATGCGCAATTGATCAAAAGGATGTGCAAGACTAGCACTCTGGGTTTGATTCGAAGAAAGTTGCCCAATTAACTACTTTAACCAATTGCATTGCTTACAGGCAGAACTAGGTTGCTCAATTTACTTGTTTAGTTTTGGATGATTGTACTTTCTGATCACAAGTTATACATCAACTTCACTCTTGTAACGGGGATGCCTCCAATAAATCCCTGTTCCCCTTTGTGCTTCAATCTCATTCAATTTACTTTTGATGCATCATCATATTTATTCTGCAATAATATTTTCTTCTTTAACATGTTCTCATATGTTTCCAAAACCTCTTCTACCTTCTCCTTTTACGCCACAGTTGATTATGTCGTTAAGTTTTGGTAGGCCATCTTTTACCCCACTTTCTGTGCTATTGATGATAATGTTTTCATGCTTCTTCATGAACTGTCCTTCTTCTAGATTATTGTAGGTTCTGGTTATGGTATCATAGTATAGTTACATAGTCTCTAGGCTTTTCTTTTGTGGATTCCTATACTTTCAAGTTTTACTTATTATGCTCTGAGACCATAAAAAAAAGTCAGAAAAGAAGGATATAAGACTTGAAAAAGTATTGTATATGATTGATATAAAACGCTTATATACAATATATATATAGACTGTCCTAATAATAATCAATGAACATTCTAATAATAAGTAATGAATATAAAATATTTATTAAATCTCAGCAACGGAAACTCAAAAGTCAAAGGGGGAATAAATCTAAGGCCCTCAGAAGACGCATAATATTGTTGAAGCCCAAAGCATTTTGAATTTTTTCTACAGGTCCAAGGGCCTTAAGTGAAATTAACTTTTTAGGTCAACTGACAAAATTGTTCCTGACTAGAAAAGAAACACAACTATGCCGCAAGCTCTCCATCGCTCAAAGAAGAACACACTTGAACTTCCTCCTTTATCTTCACTGGAATCGACTCCATGAATTGAAACAAAAACTATGCGTTTGGCTTGTCAAAATTACAATACCCAAATTGCAAATCTACCCAAATAAAATAACCAGTTGAAGAAAATTGAAATAAATAGGCAAGAACTTCAACACACCCGTTAAGATACCAACAAAAAGCTACCCCAACTAGTTCATCTATCAATTCATCAGTATTACCCAAACGGCACAAAAGCAAGAGCATAAATCCAAACAAGGCCAACTTAACCAAAATCGGCAAATCTACCAAACGATTCTACAATGTCTTGGAGACCCAGCCCAAAATTGCAAACCCTCACTTGCACAATCACTTCACATGATTCCCAGCTCAATGCCACGAGTTTTAGTATAACAGTTGATACAGAGAGTCCAAAAAGGAGATTTGAAAATATTAGAGAGAAAATTAGCAAGTTGGGGGGTAATAGTGAAGGCTGGGAGAGGAAGGCCAAGATATGATGGGAAGAATTAAAGAGAGGGCCTGCCTCAAAAAGCATGAGTGAAACAAGGAAGGAAGAGATAAATTAGGAAATTAAAAGGTCATGAAAGAGCTATTTGTATTGGGGAAGCCATCGATTCCAGTGAAGAGGAAGGAGGAAGTTCAGGTGTGTTGTTCTTTCAGCGATGAAGAGTTTACATCATGTTCCTTTTCCAATAAGGGATAATTTTGTCATTTGACCTAAAAAATTAATTTTACATAAGGCTTTTAGGCCTACAAAAAAACAAAATTAGAATGCTTCAGGCTTTAACTGATATTATGTGTTTTCTGAGGGCATTAGAAGATATTCTCCCAAAGTCAAATATGCCAAATAAGTCTAATTTTCACTCAAATACAAATAACCAAATATAATAAGCAATTTAAGCCCAAAGCAATATTATTAAAGCCCAAATGAGCCTTCCAAATATTTATATTACTTAGCCTAAGCGTTGTATTTTGAAGACTTCAAGCTTAAAATATGTGCAACAACTTCATTTTCAGTCCAAATCAAATTAATGACGTATTTCAGCACTTTTAACACTTTCCTTGTGATTGGATCACTTGGAATATGAGAAGGGTCTCTTGAAGTGTCAAAAGCGATCTTTTGAAGTGTTAGAAACAACTTGTTTGATTTCATTTCTTAGTTAATTTATTAAATTTTGGATTCTTATCATACGCACATTTTACATACCTCAGTTTGGCTGAAGTAAATCAAATCGCCAAAAAATTCATGAGATCTTATAGGGTCCCTGCTATAAACATGGTACAAATGCAAGATTTACTTATTTTTAAATTACTTTTCAAGTAAAAATGGAGAGTTTATTCAAGTCCAATATAAGGAACATCGGATTCCTATACTTCCTCTGATTATATTTATAACATAAAGAGATAAGAGTTTTTTCAGTTTTATTTATAAGGCATCACTTACTTTTTACCACAAATTAAATTTCCTTTTTGGCCCTAGTTAAATATTGGTAAGAAAAAAACACATTATTGAAATATATATATATATATATATATATCAAGAAAAAGTTGAAAACTTATTTAAAAGGTTTCCTTTTTATAAATAAAAAGACTATAGTATATATTTAGTCATTTGATTTTACACAAGTTTTCATTTTAGTTCTTTAATTTTATACAGTATTTTTTTAGTCTTATAACTCTAATATCATTAGTTTCATCCCTAATAAATGTTGGCATGTTAAGTTTAATTTTTTTTAAAATAACAATGATTGACATAAAAAATAATCATTTAAAACTAATAGTGTTAGGGTTAAAAGACTAAAAAAATATTTTATAAAATTAAAGAATCAAATTAAAATTTTATATGATGTTAAAGGACTAAAAAATATTTTTACCAAATAAAAATAAGCACATATGTTTCTAAGCAAGCATGGTATATTGGGCTGATGGGCTAGAAATACACAAAAACACACTGTTCTAATAATTTTTTTTTTTTAAAAAACATTCATATATCAACATGAGGCGTAACACCATAGCAATCATTTTCCACTTTTTGACTAAATTTAATAACTAATCTCTTTGATGTTTGACAGTCTCTTCAAGAATTCATGAAAGTCGTCACCTCGGCTCAGCATGTTAATTCTAGTACACCTTGGACCTGATCCAAATCGATTCCCGCTTCTAGCAAGAACTTTCAATTCCTTTTCCAGATAACTCACTCCGTCTTCGTCCTTCTTACACATCAACCACGCGAAAGCTATGGCAAGAAATGCCAACATGTTAGAATCAAATGCTTTAAGTTAATTGAACGGCCAAACGAATGATGAAATAGATCAAGTACGTACCAGGATATGTTTCAGATGATTCTTTGGTGAAGTTACAATAGGCTCCCGGAAACTTGGGTAAAATGAGATCACCATTTTCTTTGATGACTTCCCTCAGTTTCTCCCACCTCTCTTTTATAAGGCGTTTGCTGTACTCAAAGAACAGCTCAGAATTCTTAGACCCAAGTTTGAAATTCTGATCATAGCTATCACATAGAACTTCCATTATTTTAGCAGCTCGAGTCTGCGATTCTTTCGACACCCCAATGGAGTTCATCACTATATATCTCGTCATCTTCTTTGCAATATCCATGTCTTTCACAATAGCCCACCTTCACAACACAAAACCAAAGCTAATCATAAAAATCCATGACCTGTGCACACTATTTAATAAAGATAACTGATTTATACGTACCCAATGCGAGAACCAGAGTGACCAGTGCATTTTGAGAAAGTGAAGAGCATAAGGTCATGATTGGCCTTGTGAGTAATGGGAGTGTAGTGAGGCCAGTAATAAGCAAGGTCATGAATCAGCTTCCCTTCACGTCCAAGCTTCTTGTTCACCACTGGTCTTCTGAGACTACCATCTGGGTTATTCGGAGACGTCACTATCTCTATGTATTCTTCATTCTTATCGTACACCTTTGCATCCCCACTCCACTTGTACAGGCTTGAGCACACTATGTCTGTCTCGTCCGGATACCCCTGCAATCTCAAAACCTCCAATTTTCCTCAAAAACCTCGATTTCGAAAAGATATATATATATATATATATATAGATTGTGTGTGAGAGAGAGAGACCGAATAATAGGGAGAAGCAGCAACGACGTTGATAGGATTGGGAGAGTTAGAAGAGGAAGAGAGAGCAAAGAGAGAAGCGTGAAAGAGCTGAGTAGAGCCATTTCCGATGACAATGTGGCCATCTTGCGTCTCTGCGTTGCCAACCAGAGCATGAAGCCTTTTAATGACGTCTCTGAGCTCAGGCTTCATGAACCAACACACACTGGCATTGTCACTCACATAACTCAGAAGCTCGCACCCCTTTATCACAACCGCACACTCGTCGCTCATCTTCCTCCAGTACGATTCGAACAGCACCGTATCTCCCCTGCAATTAATACATGTCCAATAATCAAACCAACACCATCTCAATCAAACCACAAATTGTTGTTATACATATACGAATTTCTTACTGGTCGAGATTGATGAAGGAGTTTTGAAGAGGAGCATTGGTGTTAGAGGACGACAAGCCATCGTTGTTCAGAGGAGCTGCAGAAAGAACATTATTTGCCACCATTGTTGGACTGTGAGAAATGCTTGATTAATTTGTCTGCAACGTCACTAAGTTCTTCTTTCTGTGTCCTTGATTTGCTTTTGGATTACACTTGAGCATTGCGCCACTTTTTATATGCACACACACACATAAATGACTAACACACATGAATCATGAGGCATATCTTTCTATGAATGTCATTTAGAAGTCCAACTATATTGAAACTGTCGAGATCGGTTGAAGGCTCTTGGACTAGTTGGACCTATAGATAATTAAATATATTGAAATTATATATGGCTCTAGATAACCATAAGTCATCAGCAGCATTAAAAAGTGGCCATATAGCGGCCTAAATTTTTTTTTTATTTAAAGTTTTCTTCAATGCAAAATTCATGCCATTTTACTCGTCAACACACTTGGATTATATTAAATATGCAGATGGTGTGTTTCTTGCAGTGGGACTGTGGTGTGGCTTAGCCATCGCAAGTGATCTCTCACACTCTTGTTTTTCTTCGTTGTCCCTTCTTAAAACTAATAAAAAAAAAAAAAAAAACATGCAAGCATGCGAAAAGAACGAGTAGGACAGACAGACTATACTAAAGAAGGCACGATATGTTTATTGTTAACATGGATTATAATTGTTCATGCATACTTTATACATACATACATACATACATACATACATATTATATATTGACGCAGAAGATATATATAATTAGGTTTATGTATATCTATCATATGAATATTAAAAAAAAAAAGATTTATTTCATCGTTCTAGCTTTTGGGAGAAATCCAATGGGCTCAAGCCATGACAATTTGTACAACGGGCTCCATCGTCGGTAATTTATACCATGGGCTGGTACTGATGGCAAATAATTTATGGGCTTGTGATTTTGTATGAAATATCTTTTATCTGGTAGTGTTAGGTTATATAGAGTATTGTCAACCTAAAGAGGATAAAACTAACGGGTTAGCTCTAATGAAGGTTGAGTCTCGTAGCAAATTAATGTTTGAGTTTTTATTAAAAAAAGTACTCACTTTTAACAATACTTTAAATATGATTGTCTCAAATAGGATAATACCTATGGGTAACCAAAAAAAAAAAGACTCTTCCAAAGATGTATTTTTTAATACCTTATTTTAATATTCTAAATCCCATATATCCCAAATTGTGTATTGCACAAAAATTCAAATTCTCTAATTTTTTTTTCCTTTTTCCTTTCTTTTTCCCGAGGGGGGCTTTGGGTTCTCCAGCCCTTTAAAAGGTGCTCCGGATATTGGACTCCTTGCGTTGGCAATAGCACTTGATGGGGTACTTGGATAAGTTGTATAGCCTGAAACATTTGGGCCTTTAGGTATGAGAATGATGACAGAACGATTTTCTTTTTTTTTGTTTCTCATTGGAATAATATTTTGAAGAGTTTTATGTGAAACTCTCTTGATGATTACATTCATGTTAAGGTTGGTTCTTTAATTTACTTATTAATAAAAAAGAATATCAATTTTCATAAATTAATTACTTTGTTTTGAATAATTACATAACCAGTACTGAACATCCAACACAAGAATTCTACCCATTTAATTATGAGTTAAAAGAGATAATATGATATTAAGAGGCCCATTTCACCTTAAACTATGAATAGTGGATACCCACACTTTATAATGAGGTTTTTGGATGAACTTTAAAATAATAATTATGTGTATACGCTTGTGAAAATGCAATAAATTTCTAGTATATATCATACAAAAGGAATGAGGGAAAAGATACACTTTTTATATTTATAAGAGTGAAGGAACAATATATTGAAGGACAATCCAATGAACGGCACATCTCATTTAATGTTCCTCTTTGGATTATATACAAGGAATGATCAGAAACAAGAGCTAAAGAGCTATGATGGATTTCATTCCATATTAAATCACAGCATAATTTGGATGTGTACATTATATTGAAAAGAATGTTTGATAATATTTCAGAAACATTGATGAATGTTTTAAGAACAACGGAAAAGCAATTTAAAAACTCCATTGAATTTGCAAGTTGTGTGCATAGTAAAATTGATCTCCATCCCATGAAACAAGGCAGTTATAAGGTGTCAACAAATACACCTCTGTTTTTCTAGTTGGTTAATGATGGGAAAAAAAATATTTTGTGTGATTTTTGATAAATTAATGTCTCCTTGAGCTCTTGGCGGACATTCCTTATAATGTTTGCCATATATAGTGGATTGAAATTTTTATGATTGTCGTGGTCTTATGATCATACAACTGGCTTCCACTTGCACTATATAAACTATTTTTAGTACCTATGTAGAGTCTTTCGTTCTAATCACGCATCTCATTTCACTCTTATTACATTAAGTGAACTAATAGTAAATAAAAATATTTGTGCATACTTTGTTCTTTTTTATTTATTCTTCGATCAACTAGTATCTTGAAAAATTTGAAGGTATCATTATCACTAACCCAAATTAATCTGGATTTTCGTTCTGTGACATTGTCATTACTAATGGCTGCCTTATTGGTACTTCGGGGATACCTTTGACGACTACATTCATTTTAACAGTCATGCGTGTTGCAAAATTTTGGGTATAAAACTATAAATAGCTTGCTTCACCTGGCTTATGCAATTCTAAATGTTTATGTTTTTGTTAATATAATACAATATTTACATATTCATCATGTAACAGTACTTACAATCTTTGAAGGATTGTGTGCATCATTATCTAAAAGGTTCTCAATTGCTTTCATGGAAGGTCTATTAAAACTAAATTCAATATAGTGTTGAAAGAAATTCAGTTGGTGATCCTAATAATTAAATTGTATGGAATGTCTATTATCTTATTAGAAGCCGTACACGCATTATTAAATAACATAGCATAACTGCTTCAAGATAATAATTAGTTAATTGCAACATTTACATATTCTTTCAAAATAATTCAGGTTAATTAATTATTTGAGTCTACTGCCACTGCAACTAGTTATCAATGTAAAGGTAAATCTTTTTAAAACACAAAGATATATAGAGTTGCTGACCTATATATCAATAAGAGCTAATGAAAAAACATACTCTATTGTTATTGTAAATAAAGTCCCTTTGCAACAACGCAAACCTTCACTAAACAATGTTAGCAAGTGACCACACCTAACAAAAGATGGGTGGGTTTTATTCTGAAACCTACTTGACATTTCCTACTAATTAAATAACCCTCCATTAAAACCTATTACTTGACATTCATGAAACTACAATAAGACAAAGATATTAATTCCATCAATTAAATAAACCTCTTGCTAGATCTACCCATCTAACTGCATATTTAATGCGTTATCTCTTTGATATTTGATAGCCTCTTCAAGAATTCATCAAAGTCGTCACCTCTAACCAGCATGCTAAGTCTAGCGTACCTTGGATCAGATCCAAATCGAATCCCGCCTCTAACAAGTATTTTCAATTTCTTTTCCAAATAACTCTCACAATCTTCATCATCCTTGTTGCACTTCAACCATGCAAAAGCTGCGGCAAAGGAAGCCCAACAAGAGGTATCAGAACCAAACGCTACAAATTGAACAACCAAAAGGTGGATGCGTGTGTGTGTGTGGGTAACAAATTAAAATGTACCGGGATATGTCTCAGATGATTCATTAGTGAAGTTGCAATATGCCCTTGGAAACTTTGGCAAAGTGAAATCACCATTTTGTTCGATGACTTCCCTCAGCTTTTCCCACCTTTCCTTCATAAGGCTCTTGCTGTGCTCAAAGAACAGCTCAGATTCTTTAAGCCCGAGTTTGAAATTCTTATAGCTTTCACAAACAACTTCAATTATCTTAGCAGCTCGAGTTTGGGATTCTTTCGACACTCCAATGGAGCTCATCTGTATAAACTTCGTCATCTTCTTCGCAATCTCTGTATCCTTCACAATAGCCCACCTTCACAATAGAAAACCCATAGTAAAAAACCATAGAAACAAAACACGTCATTGATCAATAATGTGTATTAATTGAAAAGGGGATTGTTCTTACCCAATACGAGAACCAGCATGACCAGTACATTTGGAGAAAGTGAAGAGCATGAGGTCATGTTTGGCCTTGTGAGTAATGGGAGTGTAGTGAGGCCAGTAATAAGCAAGGTCATAAATCAGCTTCCCTTCACCTCCACACTTGTTCTTCTTCAAAACAGGTCCTCTGATACTACCATCTGGGTTATTCGGAGAAGTCACTACCTCTATGTATGCTTCATTCTTATCATACTCCACAGCATCACCGTTCCATTTGTGTAAACCTGAACGCAGAATATCTGTTTGGTCTGGATACTCCTGCACAACACAGACATAATGTTTCAGGAAGAGAGAGAGAGAGAGAGAGAGAGAGAGAGAGATGTAGAGAGTATTCGAGTTTTAAGGTTCACCGTTGACCTACAGGAGCAACATATAATTGATTGAAGACCCTCCTCTCTCTCATGTTACCATGTTTGCGTGTAAACTACTAGAATCTGAAAGTTCATGTGTCTCGACGTGAAAGTGTGTGTTGCATGTCCCCTATTATGCACTGTCTCCGTGAAGTAGTGTTTTTGTTAATTTTGTTGTCTGCTAAATTAAAAAAGACAGAAGCCTTTGACTAGACTTTATAAAATTCAACGGAAACGGCTCAGCGGTTGTCACCCACGATTTGAGCAATTTCTCTCAGCATCAGTATTTATTAACACATAAATAAATCCTTTATTATTAATGTGGTGTGCAATTATAAATATGGCAAATGAAAGTTCTGTGCATGCATGCGTCGACCACATGCAAATATAACTCATTGTCACTCCTTTTTTTTTCCCATCCTCTCCTCTCCTGTCAGTAATTCCCGACCATTAGATAAATCTGATGGTTCAGAGAAAAGGTTACTTCTTGTCTTGTTGATGCTTATGGGACACTCTGGCTTATGGTCACATGGTGTGGGGACTAAGGAGTTATTTGATAGAACAGAACTGTCCAATAAAATTATATAATTTGCATGGTATTAAAACTCAACTCAGATAGTGGCTGGTGAGATCACTAAACTGATGAACCAATAATTGAAAGCACATCAATGGGACATGTGGGGGTGAATTACAACCGGAAATAGGATCTAGACCGTCCCCTTGAACTAACGGCTCTTGTAATGATACAAGAGAGGACAGGAGGATGGTAGAGAATGAATAGAGACTTGGCAAGTTCTACACATTACAACAATTGGAAAGAAGAAAAATCTTATTTTTTTGGTGAAATTTATAAATTTAATTTCCAAATTAAATAATATGATGAGGGGAAAAGGTACGCATTTTTGGGCACCGAAGAAACAAAAAGATACCCGTAATATTAGTTTATTCAGAAACTCCTAGAAATATACATAATCTTCAGTCGGAATCAGTATAGCCATCAATTCATCATACAATGAACTGAGGACCAATAATAATTCATAAAGATAATAATAGAGGAAAAAGAAACCTCCACAATTAACTGAAAGATTTGGACAAGAGGAAGAGAGAGAAAGAGAAGCCGACCGAATAATAAGGAGCAGCAGCGACGACGTTGATAGGGTTATCATCAGAAGAGAGTGAAGAAGAAGAGAGAGCGAAGAGAGCAGCCTGAAAGAGCTGCGTGGAGCCATTTCCGACCACAATGTGCCTATCGTTCGTCTCTGCGTTGCCAACCAAAGTATGAAGCCTTTTAATGGCGTCTCTGAGCTCCGGCTTCATGAACCAACACACACTCCTCAGATCACTCAGATAACTCAGAAGCTCGCAGCCCTTAATCTCCACCGTACACTCCTCGCTCATCTTCCTCCAGAACGCCTCAAACAGCACTGGATCTCCCCTGCACCATCATCAATAACATTCAAACCATAGAACCAGAAAATATACATATACACAGAGACATACACACACAGAGATCTGAATTAGTATCTTACTGGTCGAGGTTGATGAAGGAGTTAGGGAGAGGAGAAATGTTAGTGGAGGAGGGGAAGCCATTGTTGGAGTGAGAGGAAGAGAAGAAGCAAGATTTGGCACAAGTGATGATGATGTGGTAGTACTGTGATAAAGGCCTGTATTGTTGTCCGCAACGACGAAGCTCTTCATGATGATGATGATGAATATAATAAAAATATACTGTGAGTAGTCTTTTCTTCGATCTGCTTGATATCTTGGGTGTATATATATAAGCTGTCGCGTCTCTAAATATAGGTAACTTAATTGCCAAGTGAAGCGTTCATGAATCCAAACGCGCGAACCACTGTGTTTTTGGTAGAAGTACCTAATTAATATTTAACTTTTTTAAGAGATTTTATTTTAGTCTCTTAATTTTATAAATCTTCTTTTAAGACCTTTGATACTAATATTATTAGTTTCATTAAGAAAAATGTTGATATTAAAATTTTAAATGTTGATAAAATATTATTAAACATTGACATATTGAGTTAAATTTTTTAAAATAATGATGATTGGTATAAAAAAATTATTATTTGAGATTGATGATATTAGAGATGGAGGAGAACTAAAAAGATAGAATCAAAATGAAATCTTATATAAAATTAGAGAATTAAGGTTGAACTTTTGCCCATCTTATTGTTTACAAATTGTAAAAATTATAGGTTTGCCATGTATTTTGATTATATATAAAATATCTATTTTTAATTAGAAGATGTTAAATATTGAAATATTTCTATTAGTCAAATATGACTAAGTTAAATGTACTGATTATGACTGAGTTCTTGGTAAGATTTGAATCCATGCTTCCAAAGTTGAATTAGTCTTCTTTGAGCAATCCATGCGTGGCTTCTATACCCTGTATTTGTTTCTAATTTTAACCTTTTCATTACTTGAATGATAAGACCTCGTTTAGTTCAATGTAATAAGAACCATAGAATTTGAAAATGTGCAACAATTTATGTGAAGATTCACCCCCCATGCATGCATGCTTTGTTAATTCTGTTAATTGTTATTCTGTTGGAAAAGTCAATGGATTAAAAAAAATAATTTATAGAATGGGACATTTAGATAATATTGTGTATATGGATCTTAATTTCTGATTTTTGGTGTCAATCTTAATCTTAATTAAGGATTTGATTGCCAAATTTACGTGGTTTAAATATGACAGATTATATTAAGTTTAAATAAAATCATTCATATTTTTGTTATATTTTTAATAAATATATAACGCACATATATATAATTGTGAAAAATATAATTTCACATGTGTTTCATAAGAGCATGGAAATCATATTCACTTATCATATATCTCAATAGCAAATAATGGGGTGTTTAAAGGTTTGATTTGGTTCGATAAAAAATAAAAAAATAAAACTGCACCAACCAACCCTATAAGTTTTACAACATTTTGGATAGGGGTGTTCAGTCTGGACCCGTCCCGATTGGCCCGGTATCGTCCCGATCATATCGGGACGGGTCTTGTCCCGGCCCGAAAATAATCGGGACGGGACTTTACAAGACGGGACAAAAAAAGGGTTCGGGACGGGACGGGACACGGGATTACCATCGGGACGTCCCGTCCCGTCCCGAATATTATATATATTATTTTTTATTTTAAATATGTTAATATAATTTATACTTATATTAATTATATCAATTATAATTTTAATGCTTGCAATTCTTATTTAAAACTAAAGTTTTTTTATATTGATAATTTTAATGGCATGGAGTAAACATGTCGATATCTTTCTTTATAATATATTAATTATATTAATATAATTTATTTTTATATCTATCTATTTAATAAATTTTATTTATAACATATTTCTTGCTTATTTTTAGAAGAGTAATTAGCTTAGTACATCTTCACTAAAGTAAAAGAATAATGATTTGATGTTGTGTTTGACTTGCCTATTGTTGCTAATCTTATAGCATAAAGATCACTTATATTTGTTATTATAATATGTAGTTGTGATTAATATAATTCAATAGTTGATTTTAAATTATTGTTATTTATGTGCTTCTATTGTTTTGATTTTAAACTTAATAAATTATATGATTTAAAATTTTAATGAACGTTATTATTCAAATCTTTTTTCGATATTATTCTATTTATCGGGACGGCGGGACGTCCCGATCTTGTCCCCATCCGTCTCGACTCTTAACGGGATGGGACAACTTTCGGGACGGGACGGGACACGGGACCAAAATTCAGTCTCGATCTTTTTTTCGGGACGGGACACGGGACAGGGGTGTCCCAATCCCGTCCCGTCCCGTGAACACCCCTAATTTTGGACCCATTTGGTTTTGTAATCCGTTTTGTTCAATTTGGATTGGTTTATGTTAATCTAAGATTATTTTTTTAAGAATTTATAGCTAATGATATGAATTTAATTAAGCAGTCAAATATTTTAAGTTATGTGTCATATATGTAGCTAATAATACAAACCAGTTAAAATTTATATGCCTTCTATTAAAATAAACACACGCACTTAATTTACATAAATGTCTCAAGTGCTTAGTTTTTAAGGGAAAATAAAAGAATATAGTTTCAAGAGGCGAAATATACTTTAAAACCAAAAGTCCCGAGAAGCCCTCGCTATTTTCTAGAGTTGGGGAAAACCCTAATTAAATTAACAAAAAGTATATCTGTTTAGAATTATGAGGCATTTGCAACTAATTTACATTTTTAATAAGTTAGTTAATCATATTTAATATTACACATTCTTTCATATTTACCTTTATTTAATTTAATAATATGTCTTAATTAAAAAACCTTAATTATATAATTGAAAGTATTTTTAAAAAAATCTTATTATACATTAAAATATTCAAAATTCCTTATATTCTTAAATATGATACTTCCAAAAAGTATCTTGCCCTCCATGATTTTGTTTATAAATCACTTCTAATTTTTTTATTAAAATTAAGGAAAATTTTAAAAATCATTAATTCTATTTAAAAAATGTTTTTAATTTTATCCTTATTATATATATATATTAATAATTTTTTTTCATTGGCCAACAGTTAATGGGTATAAAAAATTTTTTTATAAAAATTTAATAACATGACTTCAAATAAGATAAAGAAAACTAAAATCTTCTCTATCTATTGAAAAGGATCGAATAGAGTATTTCATAAAGAAGTTCATGAAACTAGTATATAGAGATAGACAAAATGTAAATTAATTAAAAATCACTTGAATGGAGGAACACGTTGGGATTATGCTGCTTCATTGGTTAGTGAGAAAGAAAACAACGGAGGCTCAAAACACATGACGTTGCGTTCCTCAAACCAAACATGTTTTGACTTTTTGTCTGAATTATTATCAATCACTATCTGGAATTTTCATGATTCTTGTGTATTCACGCATGTGCTTCTCATCTCTCTGCATGTGATCCTCACTCTCCTTATATACTTCTTCCATATAATCATCTTAATGCATCAATTCAATTCACAACACTTCTTTTATAATATATTCCTATATCTCCGATTATATATTTATTCTGACATATTATTATCTTTCTAGAGTTGTGCCACACACATAGATTAAAAAAAATAATAATGTATAATTAAAATCGAGGCATTTGGCTTTAGAAGTCAAGAAATTCAAATCATTGGGATTTTATATTTGAGTCTTCAGAATGCAATTACATTAAATAAAAAATGTTAAAAACATTCTCAAGATACTAATTTGTGAGACTATATATAGTTGATAATAATGATCCCATACAATGGTATTCATATTAATCTAGATGAATGGTGGTAATATTCCTAGATTTTTAAAGATACTGTATAATAGAATAAAAAAAGTTAATGTATAACCTAACAAGTTAACAAAAATATAATGGTATTTTCAGAAAAGCACTGTTATTAACTATTATACTCTTCCACATAAACCGACTTGATTATTGAAGATAAAATAGTCGAAAAATCTATAATTTGATACTTTCTTGAAACTCTATTGAGAGTCACAATTACTTATCTTAAAACAAAAATAAACAATTAAAGCTATGATTATTTTGGAACAGAGGGAGCAAGAAGTATATGTTCTATTAGAATCCAACAGCATTTTATTAATTAATATGCATATTATTGCCTTCTCTGTTGTGGTCGGTTCAAGTCTATTTTTTCAAATGATTGAGTCCTTTTTTATTATTATTAGTTTTAGAGTTTTAATGCTCCATGTCCTCTTCTTTTATTAATTTTTATAAAATTATATATATAGTATAACTATTACATATTATATATTATATATAGTGAGATCAAGAGACATAAAGATCCGAACACATAATTTTCTATGTGAATAGCATCAAACTTTTAACAACATAACAAGAAAGAATAACATTTTCGGACTTTTGAGCAACAAATTTTTTAAACTATCCCTGGAAAAAATCTTTTTAAGTTCGTTAAGAATGGGATCAAAAATGAAAAAAAAATATTTACATTAAAATACGAGTGAACAAAAAGTAATTTGATTGGTATATATGATCCATGGATTACTTTAATTTTTTTTTTTAAACTACAATGATATCCATGAGTTGCTAGTTTAGCAATATAAACTATAACAAATAAATTTATTAAATAAACATCAAAAAAATCCTGATTCCATTGTTTGGCGCATCAAAAAAATCCTGATTCGCTAGCTAGGGAACGATGAGGTAGTACTTTGTTTACTCCCATCCATTCAAACCATTTACACATGCAGTAGAAGAATCTAGCTTACTATTTTTGAATCTTATAAACAACTCCACGAAAACAAGAGGAAGAGAAAACAGACCTCATATACAATCCCACGAAAGTGTTACTACTTAATATTTCTGAATATTTCACTTCACATACAGTAATTTATTTATACATGCTGCCGGTCATTTAAAAAAGAGAGAATGATAAATAGGGTACAAATGAACCAATTAATTTAAATTAGATCTCAATCAATTTTAAAGCTTCAAACCTTGGGAATTTGCCAAATTTTCTTAATTTTATAACTTCGTTGTGATAAATTTTAACTTATGTTCCAAATTTAATATAGTTGAAAAATAAACAAATTTGTTTTTCTAGTTAAAATTTGAAACACAATTTGCAAATCCATTACAACGACATTGCAAAATTGAAAGCCGAACTTGCAAATTCCTAGAGTTTAACACTTTGAAATTGGTTGAGACCTAATTTGAATTAATTAGTCCCCTTAAAACCTATATGTAACCCTTCTATTAGTAAATGGTTTAAATCAATAGGGTTGGTTCTAGCATAAGAAACTCTTTCCCTCATATGATGAATTAAAATTTGAATTTTTGTTTTGGTAAAAGACAGGGTCAAAGCCCCAAAACACAAACAAAAACAAAAGGCCTCAACCTAACCAGCAAAACACAAAAGAACCCAAAAAAAAAAAACAACCCCTCTCAAATGGACATCCACATTTATCTGCCAAAAAAATTAAACTAACTCTTTCTGGAACCTAATGCTAAGAAGTGGTCCCCTTAGGCAACTCAACTCCAGCTTATAAGAGCATCTACTAGTTGGTTCCCTTTACATGGAGAAAAAGACAATCTGACATCCCCAACATCCTTCTTCAACCTACAGATTTTTTGAAAAAAAAAAAAAAATCTTTAACCTTATCTCTCCAACCTTAAAACCAGAGCTAAAGAATCCAACTCCAACATCACTTATTAAAAACCCAGCCTTCTACACCATTCTAAACCAATAAGCACACCCCCAGATTCAACCTCAAAAGCACTATTGAATCCAATATTCTGACTGAAACCAAAAATCCAGTTATCAACTTCATCCCTTACATCTCCTCCACAACCAACATGAAACCTTATAGATCTACAAGCTCCATTTGTATTAAGCTTCACCCACCCATCACAAGGAAGAATCCAACTTACCAACTCCCTTATTATACTACCAATCCCTTCCAAAAACCTACTTCTAGCTTCTACCATTTTCACAGCAAAACCTAAGATTTTCCTTATAAGAAAAGAAGAATCCCTTATGTAATGTCCGCCTTGACATTACCAGGATAACACTCACACATCGTTGTGATAATCAGGATTTAATAAAATCCTTTACCAAAGCTATCACAACTCAAGAGTTTGAAAATAATTAGTTAAAACATTAGGATCCCAAGAAAATCTTTTTAAAATATTGTTTGAGCTCAAACTATGGTAAAAAATTGATTAAGAGCAAATACGAAAATATGGAAATCACTTCACTTCGAAATAAACTAAAATAAGCCTTCTAACCCTAATCTAATCTATCCGTTGTGGCGCAAGCCGCGCCCACTGCTGTGGATGGCACAAAGGGATGAATCCCTCGAGGGCCTCTTGGGCCACGGTGCAACAATCATGCACCGCAGCGCGTACCTACTGTCATGATAGCAGATTGCTGTCATGACTTTTCTTTGAACTTTCGAAGCGTGCCATTTCGCCATCCGACATTTGTTTTGAGCAATTCAAGTGTTGACACGAAGTTCTTTGAGCCCTCTAGCTAATGGCACCAGTTTCACATTCAAATAATCACTCGTTTAAAAGAGGGATACCCAAACCCAATATGATTTGTTTTCACAACAAAGCACATATAATGGTATCTAACTCACAATACACAATGCCATTAGCCCCAAAGACACCTTGACCACCTCAAATAGACCACACACCACATAAAAATCCATTCATATCACAAAATTAAGCAATCACACTCAAAATGACCACCAAACCCCTATTGGACAATAACCTAACGGGGTGGATAAAATTCAACACACAAATAAATTGGTAATTTTGGTACTCAAAACACTTGACATATATATATATATATATATATCATGTAAGCAACTTGGCCAAGCACACAATTAATCCATAACATCATTCTTGGACCAAGATATGCATACTTATCATAAGATTCACACAAGTCATATCCAAATAATGTCATGTTCCTAAATTGGTAATATTTAGTGACAATATTCATTACAAAACCAAAAAGGAGAAAGGAAAGAGCTATACTACAATGCTCTTCACTCTTCAGACGCTCCTTCCTTCTTCTTATCCCTACCGGAGCCCTCACCTGTAAAATATAACCACGGGGTAAGATAAAGATCTCAGTAACTAATATAATTCATCAAATGTTTATTACCATAAATAACTATAAAAAAGTATCAAAACCATAAAAATTACAAGCATACCATAATTATGAGATAAATGTATCTCTTCTCAACAAAACACATAGTTTTACACTAGCATGATCATCTAACCATCGAACCTCCAATGCTCCCCGACATGAAACCATAGGCTCTCCTAGTTTAACCATTTGTTGACCTGAGCACACTTTTGGTGGTAGAAATACCCAACCCAAGGTAATTTAACCCGCTTACGGACTATAGTTTTTCCCTCTTCACACACTTGTGATAAAGACGTCATTGACTCCTAATCACACCCTAACGAGTACTAGGGAGTTGCCAGACTACCCAAATATCCTATGGTGTTAGCCCAACTATATGAATTTTTCACTCACATATCTCCACACACACATATTCTCACATATCTCGGGTGAACTCTCACCCCCTATGATCATGCTCTTTCACAATTTTCAGTACTTTTCATCACATTTTCACATTGCAAACCTATATACATAATATATACATTTCAATTAGAATAATAACCATTTATAAAACACTTTTTCATGCTAAAAATCATTTACAATATTAAATTATGCACAAAACTTTTCAAAACTACAACTTTATTTATCATTTAAAATTGCTTCTACACAATTAGAATAGTTAATAAACACAATAAACTATATGGTTACCTCAACCCTTTTGTCACACTAAAAGGGTCACCGTGGCTCAACGTCAGCTCCACACGTTCTATATGCACGATATTGCGCGAGTAACACTCAATCTACACAATAAGTGACAATCATTAATTATCACTCTGGATAACTTTGAATTCACTAGATTCTAAGTGTTTAAAATACTCAAATTCCTTTTCTAACAACATCAACCATTCCCACGTACTTTAACCATCCTATTACACATTTCAACATATCAAAATTGCTAATCAATTTCCCACATTATTTTAAAATCCTCAAATTATACTTAGCATTTGTCCAAACTCTTACTAAAAATTCTCAAGCACCACAAAACTCATAAACTTAAGGTTAGAAGCTTGATTTAATTCTCCAAGATCTTAAATAAGCCAATGGGTTCAGTCTAAACCCAAGGAAACTGAAATCAAAGCCCCCATTACCCCAAATGTTCAGATTTTTGCTTAAAGGAGGGAGAAGAGGAAATGTATAACTTATCCAATGGTGATTCAAGCTCCAAATGCCCTCAAAGTAGGCTAGAGATCATGCCTTAACAGACCAAAAGCTCTCCTCCATCGCTCTCTCATTTTTCCTTCTTCTTTCTTCTATTTTTGGTCTATTTTCACGATCTAACAAATGCTAATTTTGTACATGCACCGCGGCACGTAATCACGCTTGTCGTGACGCATGACACAGAAAGCCTCACAAAATTTTACACTTCCTTCCGTGCCATGGCCTACTTGAACCTCGACCTAGCCCTTTTCTAAGGTTATCCAAAGATCCAAAAATCATATTAGTCTCCATAAATCTCACTGAATAAAATTTATCTAAATTGACTAAATTACTCTTGAAAACAATAATAGTTACTAATGAGAAAACTTAAGATGTTACAGCTCACCTCTCCCCTTCTAAAAAATCTTTCTATTTCTTCCTTTCCATAAAAACTAACAAGCAGTACTAAAGATCAAACACCATGCATAGAGAACCTTTATACTGCTTGACACATCTCTCTAAATTAACCAAGAGCTAAGATCTCAAATATGTATAAAAGAAATCATTCCAATCATCCCTTCTAAGCAATCCTTGCTAAATCTCTCGAGCCATAATACAATCGCTCAACACATGGAGTACAGATTTACTGTCCTGACATACTACATATTCATTAGAAGCACCCCATCACTGACTTCAAATACTATTTTTGTACAACCTATTATGACCTACCATCCATAAAAAAACTTTGATTCTTTCAATTCCTGGCCATTTCCAGATAAGCAACCATAAATGATCTTGTTAAGCCCAAATATTTTTTATCAAACATTGATACCCCTCCTTAACTGTATACACTCCCTTAGCACCCCCTTTCCATCTCCGTCCATCCTTACCTTCTTCAAACGCAAGAGGTAAAGAAGAGTTAATCCTTAATAAAGCTTCATTCAAAATTACATCTTTAATCTTATCCCACCTCCACAATCCATTTTCATCAACAACATCCTTAACCTTTCAATTCTGCATATCAACAAGAATCTCATGCACAACCACCTCCCACAAGATATACCCACCATCTAGCCATTTATCATGCCAAAAATTCATCTCGCCACCCCTTTTTACATCACAAATCTATTTACCCTACATAACATGCCAAATTGCAGCCAAATCCTTCCATAAAATTAAATCCACCCTTTTAACAACTACATCATCCCCAAAGCTAATGCCACCATTATACTTTTGCTTCAGAATATCCACCCATAAACCACCAAAATCAAACCTTAACACAATAGCCATTTTCAGAAGACAAGCATTAATCATAACTCAATAATTTAACAAACACAAACCCCTAACTTTCTTTGGTGGTTGTATGCATTTTCAATTAATCAAATGCATCTTTCTCTCATCAGTGTTATGACCCTAGATAAAAGTACACTAAATCCTTTCAATCTCATCACAAGAAGCCATTAGAAGCTGAGTCACCATCATTGGGTATATTTGGAATTAAACCAATAACAGAATTTTTTAAGATAATTCTCCCTGCCATGCTTAAACATTTAGCTTTCCAACCTAATAATCTCTTCTTTACTTTTTCTAGCACATAATCAAAGCTTCTTTTTCTTAGAACACCCATAATTAAGAGGCAATCCTAAGTATCTATCAAACTCCTCCACTACTTAAAATCTAGATATCTCCACCAACACCTCTCTAACTCTACTACTCGTATTATTAGAGAATAAAATATACTTAATTTCTCAAAATTAACCTTTTACCTAGACATACAACAAAATCCTTCAAACAATCTAAAATACATTTTATTTGAGAGACTGAAGCCTCACTAAATAACAATAAATCATCAACAAACATTAAATGGGACACTTCAGGACCATTTTTGCCAAATTTGAAAGCCTTCCATTCACCTTAAACTCTAGGATCATTAATTCTATGCCCCAACTTTTCCATAACTGAAAAAGTAGGTAAGGTGAGAGTGGATCACCTTGCCTAATCTCCCTAAAAGGGGAAAAGAATTCAGAACAACATCCATTCCATAATACACTAGTTGAGATAGAACATACAAATCTCATAATAACCTCAATGAGAGCCTCACCAAAACCTGCCTCCTTCAAAACTCTCTCAACACAAGACCATTTGACCCTGTCATAGGCCTTTTCCAAATCTATCTTAATCACAAACCAACCCTTTTTACTCTTTAATCTTCTCATACTATGCAAAATCTCATGGGCAGCAACTAGATTTTCTTAAATATGATGACAAGGCACAAAACTAACCTAATTGGGAGATATCAAATTCGGTAATAATTGCTTTAACCTGCTAACAATCAACTTGGGAATACACTTATAAATGACATTACATAAGCCAATAGGTCTCATTTACCTAATGCTCTCAGGTTCATCAACCTTTGGAATTAACGTTAAGAGAGTATTATTGATTCTGCTCATATCATTTACACCTTCATAAATACTCTTAACCACCTTGCACACATCCTCATCAACTTCATTCCAGAATATATGATAAAAAAGTGTAGGAAAACTATCATTTCCAGGCCTTTTCCATGCACCAATAGAAAACATGGCTCTCTTAATCTCATCATTAGAAATAGGTCTATCTAAAAAATCCTCTTTTGTTCAGAAATTCCTTCAAAAGTCATCAAAGTGACAATGATTCTATTTTGCTCCTCCTTTTTTCAAAAAAAAGCCTTTTATAAAAGTCCAGAGCCATTCTGCACAATTCTTCCTGATCCTCAACCCTACTACCCATCATCCCTTCTCAACATTTTAACTCTATTCCTTCTTTGCCTTTTAATAGCTTTCAGATGATAACACCTCGTATTATAATCCCCATCTATAATCTACTGTGCCCAAGATTTTTGAAACCATAATACTTCTTCCTGCTTTAAAACCTCTGAGAAATCATCTTGTAATTTCTTCTCAAGATCAAACAAGTATTAATAAGGTCTAACTAAACTACTAATCTTTCTTTGCACCCCATCCAAACGGCATAGCAAACTTCTCTTTTTACCTTCAATATTTCTGAAGACATCCTTATTCCACTTTTGTAGATTTTCCTTCAGAATCATCAAACCATTACAAGAATCCTCCCCTTTTACCCAATTCCTTCTAACAAAGCCATTAAAGTCCTCATGAAGTAACCATGCCGCCTTAAACCTAAAAGCTTTTCCCCTCTATCAAATCTCATTTTCAACTAAGGACACCAATAATGGATTGTGATCTAAACAATCAATACGAGGTAGAACCATAATACTAGCATCCTAAAATTAACTCTTCCAATCTACATTACACAAGCCATGATCTAAGCTTTCAAAAAATCTTTCATACTCCCCTTTATCTAAATCTTTACCCATAGCTCTATACATCCATTAAACAATAGCAATCAATACACTCTCTAAATTGAAGGCATCTCTCCATATTAACCTTTACCCTCTTAATATCATTCAAATCACCAACTACCAACCATTTTAAATTAATACCCAATGAAAACCTTTCCATTGCTTCCCAAAACTCACATTTCCTTTCCCCTCGAGGAGAGACATGAGCAATAGTAAGCATCCATGGCTTCTCATTTGAAAAAGAAACCATCAAATGATAAAATTAAGGATTTTCCTCAATTACATCAACCTTAACTACCAAATCCTTCCATCCAATCCAAATGCCTCTAGCAAAACCACGTCCCTCAATAGTTAGAAATTCATCAAAACAAACCCTTCGAAACAAATTAATAGCATAATCACTACTAACTCTGGTTTCAACTAGTGCAATCAAGCTAACTCCCTTCTCATTTACCATTATTCAAAGTCCGCTCTCAAAATTCTTACTCCCTGCACCCTTACAATTTCACATTAAAAACTTTTTACCACTCATCATAAAATAATTAAAAAATTTATTAATGGCAAGATTAGTCTCAGAACCCACAACACCAACATAAACCTCTTCATCATCTGAGCTCACATCCATAGAATAATCAGTATCCATCTTACCCAAAGTATCAAGCGGCCACATACCAATAGAACCCTCTAACGTAATACATTTCAAAGGGTCTATATTAGTAATCATGACATTCTAGTCAACTTTAGTTAATACAACTCTACTATAAATAGAGTTTGCACAAATACCTCTAGCAACAACAATAGCATTTTCTTGAGTCTTTTTTGCAAAAGTCTACAATAATGCCTTTTGAGACACCATTATAGCCACACGCTCTTGCCTTATCCTTTTTTTCTACCATAGAAAGTTGTTTCTAAATAAACTAGAACAAGAAACATTCTGAGGTTGCTCTTTCAAAAATCAATCCTCCTCATCCTCCCTCCTATTATTTAGCTTGGGGGATTTTTGAGATTTCATAACAATAAAATTCATACTAGCACCAACTATATCAGCCCTAATATCCACTTCTATTTCGCCCCTATGTTGCTTATCCTCCCCCTCATCCTCTTGAAATAAGCCTCTAAATCTGGAACTATCAAACCTTCTCTAATCAAACCTCTTCCTATTAGGATCCACCCAGGTAGAACCACCTTACCTCCTAAAGCCCTTATATTGCACCAAAGACTAAGTCCCCAAGAACTTCTCACTTTTTGGCTTATCAATAGACTCCTCATCAATCATTACATCACAAGAAGCATTTCTTTGACCATAATCTTTCTCAACATGCCCAAATTTCCCACAATTAAAACATAGTAAATGTAGACCCTCATACTCCACTAGATACTCCTTTCCTTTTAAAATAAATTTTGGTAATAAAGCAGCATTTAAATCAATCTACATATATACTCGAGCAATCTTCCCTCTTGTTAATAAGGAAGTAGTGATATTAACTCGAACTATCTTCCTAATCTTATTACTAAAGACCTCAAAGATCTCCTTAATATAGTATTCTAAATGTAAATTTAGGAAATGAATCCAGACAAGGAGTTGATCAATTGTCACAATAACAGGATCAAAATTTGGTGTCCATTGCCTAATTTCCAGATAACGATCCATCATCATCCATGGATTGCCCTTCACCACTCGATCGAGGTCCTTAAAGTTTGAAAAACGAACCACAAAAAAATCATTCATCAAATCCGTGATAGAAATTTCCCCTTCCTTTACCCACGTCTTCACTAAACGCTCCTCTATTCTTTTCAAACTAACCTTAAGACCAATCAACTTAATGACAAGAGTACTCTCAAATGGCTTACAAATATGCTCCTTCTCTTCCTCAGATAAAACAAATTTAGGAATAAGCCAATTACTTCTCTTATTTCATTTTTCCTTCACACCAACCTCCTTACCATCAATGATTCCCATCAAACCCCTAACCATCTGACTGAAGGATCTTCTTCCAAAATTGGACACCACTAAATCACCCTTGATCTTCTTCATACTCTACTGGAGAAGATCATCTTCCTCAACAAATTTCCTTCCATCACCAAGCACGGGAAATTCTGCTAACAAGAGCATTTTGCAAGTCATCAGGAGTCAGAGCTTGCCAAGTCAATTCTTTATTCTTAATGCCAATTTTCTTTTTGAATTAGAGGACAAACACTATTAAAATTTGAATTTTTGTTTAGAGAAGTGCTACATTTAATGTTTGATAGTCTATCAAACAATATAATGCCTATAGGTGGAATACCTATAACAAGTAGTTTGAGGGCTTTTTTGTTTTGGGCCTTGGGCCTCCAATTCACCAAAAAAAGTTTGAAGCATCTTAGGTTTTTAGATGGTAAGGATGGCAGAAGAATTTTCATTTTCTTTGTACCCGTCCTCCTATATATAAGTCATATTTTAGAAGAGATTGATGGTCTTCTTAATAAGATGTTTTGTATTAACAGATAGATTATTAATTATTTTATATATAAGAATTTTTTTTAAAGATAATGCATTTGATGAAGGTAAACTGAAATTTTTTTAGATAACATCAATAATTTAACCATATCTTGTTAATTTCAATTTGATAGTTAGAATTAACTTATATATTGGATCGGAAGGAGTATTTGAATAATATGAGGAGTTGGTCCAAAAAAAAAAGGATAATGAAATCTTTAATCTCTTAAGTTCACTTCAATTATTGTTTTGGTCCTTCAAAGTTAACTTTTATTAAATTGGTCTCTTAAATTTGTCTCAATCATTAATTTGGTCTTTATTGTTTAAAAAAAATTATAACACTGTTAAAATTTATTAACATGGATAAGTGAATATTGATGGTAGCCACATATATTGATGAAAAGAAATGTATTTATTCAAGTGGGAAAAAATAGACTTTCAAATTTTTTAAAAGTAAAATAATAAAATGCAGCATAAGAAAGCAGAAGAAATTAGATTGATCAAAATTAACTTGAATTGAGGGTTAACTTATTTCCATTTAGCTATATATAATATCAAGTTATCAATATACTTTTTTTTTTTTGCTAGCAAGTTATCAGTATACCTTACACATTAAATTAATTTAAGAGTTAATTTGTGTTTTAAACTTAAAAGACTAATATAATAATTTAAAACATAAGAGACTAAATCAATAAAAGACAAACTTAAAGGATTAAAAATGTCATTATTGAAAAAATTCTAGTAATCTATGAGGAAGTTTCTTGAGATTAAATTTATTTCAATATTGTTGTTTTAAGTATCTAAATAACATAAGAATCTCAACTATCATAATAAATACACTTTACTCTGAATCATTACAAATTACTCAATTAGTACTAAACATGAATCACAGTAATTCTTCTTCTTCTTTTTAATTTGAAAGAGTGGTCAAACCGTTCAGTGAGATGGAACCTATAACAAGTCCCATGCCCAGGGACAGCCTTTGCCAATCATATGCTAAAACAAAGTAATTCTACCAATGTGTTATTGAAACAGTATAAGATGATACCAAGATCAGCTCTCATTTGCTTTGCACTCAAAATCCTCCAACTAGTGTGGTTTTTTTTTTTTTTTGGTTGCACTTGAAAGAATTACATTTATACATTTGTGCCAACCTATACGCTAAATCTCCTGCATCCCCACAAACCTACAAATTACAAAAATCTGTAGTTGGAAAGAGGACCATTCATCTGCATTTACAAGTGTGGAGAGATTGAAAGGCAATTCAATGAATTGTATGGTTAATTTCATATTCGTCTTTCAATTGTACACATGGGTGAGAGAGATAGATGCTAAGAGCTATGGCTATGCTGGATTTCATTAGGTATTGTTGGAAGTTTCTTCTTGAAGACGTGTTTCCTGCACCTTTCAAATATACTATCGTATAATAAATCAAATTTGACTCCTGCTCTCTCCCTGTTCACTATGAATAGGATGTGATCGCCCTCCACCATCTTGTAATACCTGTTTCATCAATTCCATAATTTTCTTTCTTAGTTCACAGAAAATTTCAAAGAAAATGCATGTGTGGAAAGTGGGGCATAATTTAAATTTGATCTATGAGCACGTTAAAGGTGTGTCCCATTGAAAAGTATAACTGATTGGTTTATACGTCTTATATGTTTTTCATTTGATCTATTTACTTTTGAGCATGTAGGTATGTCCTATTGAGATTTGAGAAGCATACAAACAGACATGTCTTGTTTGCTTTTTTTTTTTTTTTTTTTTACTTGATCCGTTCACCTTCGTGTACCATGTCTTCTTAGTTTTTTTTTTTTTTTTTAAGCATTTAACAAAAAATCGCTTTTCACCAGATGAGTGGAGGCGACTCCAATATAAGTCCTAGATTGGATTTCGTTTGTTTTCTTTTCCTTTTTCCTTTTTTCTAACATTATGAACTGAAGGCACTGCAATTATATTATCTCTTCTAATAACATTCATTTTTGCAAGCTTCAAGGACAATCAGTCCAGGTTAAAGGGCATTCGGAAGCTAAGTGATTTAAGTCATCAAGCTCCACAACCATAATACTGCAGGTTTTATTCTATCATTAATTACCAATGGTAAAAAAAATAAAAAATAGGTTATTTTGCATAACATACCAGATTCCAGGTTCCAATGGTTGGCAATCTGAATCCTTCTCAACTAAACGATGTGGATGTTCAATCGGGAAGCGAGGATAAGTCATGGATATTGTGTTAAGTGCTCCATCATTGTCCTGCCAATCCTCATCCCTGCACAGGCATAATATATATGACTTAAATGGTCATTTTTACATGTTAAGTTACGACAAGTAGAGAAATTTAAAAGAAAAATCAGACAAGGAGCACAGTCAGTTAAGAAAAAGACTCAACACGTCAAAGGTGGATTCCGTAAAACATATGCCTGATATAAAACATATATTTCTCTACAATTTTTTTTCTATTTATCTTTTTCTAGACCAGGTTTAGTTGAGAAAATTTTCATTCAATGACGCTCAGAGCAAGGTCAAATTTGTATCTAAGTATTC